GACCCAGAAGTTCGGAGCGGAAAAACAAGACTAAAGAATAGAGAATAGATTTTTGATGGCAACATGCTCTGATGTCATGTCAAACTCAGATTCTATGATTAAAAAATTATGTGTTCTTCATCGGGAGAATTCTCATATAAATACATGTTAATATACTAGATAAATGAGTGATTCAGCATAATAAATTAACAACGGCCATATATATATTTATGCGGTTTATTATGCTAATTAATTCTATTGATTATATTCCAATAAATCAAATAGTGCAATATAATATACATTTATGCACAATTATTATTAGTAGTAATTATCATAAATGCAATCATTAAACCTATTGACGTTTATATTACTCATATAACTCAATTCAACAATCCAAATCATCAAAATATTATTTTAATTGTACACTCTAAATTAAATAAATAAAATTGTCTTATATTACTCATACAACTCAAACTCAACAATCCAAATCATCAAAACATTGTTCTGATTGTACACTCTATATTAAATCAATAACAAAACTGACCATAAAAATGTGTTATTGTCTCAATGAGTTGGAAATATTTTTTTGCATTTAATTTTCATTTAATAGTGAATGAAGAAGGTTAAGTGAAAGCATATGATATACATAAATTCAAATGCATATGGTATCGGAAAATTCAAATGTGATTTCTTAATTAGGACAACATACATATCGTTGTGTTTATGTAATTACAAAAATAACCGTTCCATAAAAAACCAATCTACTTAGATGAAAATCACACTCATTATAGTGATTCTATGATGGCAATGAAGGTGACTAAAATTTAGAAGTTGTTTATTCAAATATGTCTCTTCTATCATAATGAGAAGTTAGTTGTATGCGTGCATATAGTTTAGTAGTGGTATGTATAATCAACTTTTTATGGAGAGTTTGCCGCCTATTAGCACTAAAGTTCTTAAGTTCAAATCCATCTTTGGGCAGTAGGAGTTTTAAATACCTTAGGGAGGTTTTCTATCTATTATGGTCATACAAGGCTCGGAGGATTAGTTTTTGCAGTTGTACGCAGAGGATACCTAATTTATACCTAAAAAAAGGATTAATGCTTATATAAAATGAAGCAACTTTAACACCCCAAGAAATACGCATCTAGAACCACATTATTTGAAGCATTAAATTTTGGCATTGAGTACAATAACCATCTAAATGACATTTGAGATTATATTAACTCAAGTACATGACATAGTACATAAGAACTAATACATGAATGTTTAATACAACTAATTAGGAAAACACAGCGAAAGAAACATGAGACCACAAAGTCTTCAAGTGTTCGGGTTTTCTGGCTAAATCCTTAATTCTTTCTCGGAGTTCTGGAAAACAACAACATAACCAGGGTGAGATAATTGTATCTTAGTGGAGTTTCTTATTTATGGGTCCACTCGAATCTAAAGAGGTTACAATCCTCTTTGCATTTTATTAGCACTATACTTACATGCTATTATTATAAATTGAGGATTGAAGGATATTAGCTTCATAAAAAAGTGGAATCGGTTTCCAACTTAACCTTGTCAGGTATAACAATAGAAACTACGAATTTTGATCTAGTTGGATCTGATATACAAACAACTAATATGCTGCCCTCAAGGAAGTTATAAAGGAGGTTTTTCATCTGCCTTACTCTTTGGTCTTAATACCCTCAAGGGAATGACTAAGGAAGTCTCTCATCTATCCTACTTTTGGGTCTTACTATCCTCAAGGAAATGACTAAGGAAGTCCCTTTTGTCCTACTTTTGGGACTTACTCTCTTAAATTTCTAACTACTAATTAGGAAAAATGTAGGAATTGAACTACCATTTAAGGGATACACATGATGCCAGAATAATCACATTGTATTTCCTTACAATCGCATCTTCCACTAATCTTAGGTTTTACTACTTACCAAGTAATAACTTTTAGGTAAGCACATATTCACATACATACACATAGTACTATCATTAGTTTCTTAATTTACCTAAGTTATCGCGTTATCAATCGAAATACCATAGTTCGTATTCTGGGTATGAATATGTTCTTACAACCGACTAGGTTTTCATAAACCTCACTTGATTTCGATACAAATATGATCTTACAACTGAGTAGGGTTTCGTAAACTAAACTTGATCACGATACATAACCACGATACAAATATGTTCTTATAATCAATTACAGTTTTGTATATTGTATCCCAATTTTATGAGTCTCCATGTGTTTTCGTCAAGTTCTTTAGACGACACAAGCACACCGATCAAGATACAAACTAGGGTTAAATACAATTTCATACTGTTACGTCATAACTCATTTTCTATTCTCGTATACTTCATATAAACATAGCATTTTACAAACTAAAGTATTTCAAGGGGTCAATTGATTGTCACATGCATAGAATTGATTTCTTCTTCATGTCAATCAATTTGCTTCATGCTCAGAATGCATGAATGCCCATCAACACAAACACAACACCTTACCATTAACATATCTCATCATACACATGCATGAAATCAATGAAACATGTTATGATATATGATCATACAATCACATAGAACACATATATTGAGATTCAAGAACACGCTTAACACCCCCCCCCCCCCCCCCCCTTGCATGTTAACTTCACCCAATGCTTAACCCCCATATTGCTTTTTATATACCTTTTGATCTATTGTGAACAAATTCCATCATGTTGATTGTTGTATTTCTAATATGCATGATACAACCAACCTATTATCTTATCTCTTTCTCCTTCATCATTTCAAATATTGCACCTTCTACATATTCTCCAAATTTGAGAAATTTAACACATACAATTTTTAATAAGCGTACAAACTGATGATATATTTCCTCCTAGTTAAACTTTGATATAGTTTTTCATGTATCCATCATAATTTTTTATATTATAGTTGGTTTAATATTTTTTTCCATCCTCACATTTTTATATATTCTACTTTGATATTCAACTTACATCTTGCTCTTAAATTTTTTAAAATATATTACTTACATAGTAGTGAAGTAGATTTGAGAAAAACCTCTTCCATGACATTCATCAAAATATCATCCAAGACTGTCACAATTTCCTTGAAAGATTCTCTAAAGATTTCAAATAATCAAAACACCTCTCAAAAATCAAAATTGTTTTTTCTTTCTCAAACATCATATAAGAAAATGCAATTGAGTATGTCATCTTAATAAATGAAATAAAAAAAATCAAATAATGATAGATGATATTTGATAGTTTCGTCACTAAAACAGTTGGAAAAACTGGGCATGAAGACTTTGTTTGTAGCTATACACATACTTATTTTCAATCAAGAATTTTATCAAATGTTGCATTTAATATCTTGGACACTTGATAGACTCTATGTATATCTCTCCTGCATTATAAATATGTTTAATAATAGTTTCATTGCTAACATTTTTTTCTTCGAACATCATTAGAGTATTTCTTGAAAGGAATATATTATTTGACATCTCACGAACAATATTTACCTCCTTTGATATGACCTTAAAAGAATTTAGCATTACTTGTACCATCCTTAATGGTGAAAAACCACCTTATAGAAATTCAAAAATCTCCTCAAATTCATAAATAGATTTCTGGACGCTCCCCAACTACACTCTATTCATTCGTAAGTGAAAACATTCTCATTTTTCCAAATTAAAAGACCGAAAATACATTTTCAAAATAAATATGAAAGTATACTTCCGTAGAAGACTATTAACCTACCTGACATTAATAACACACCTCTCTCTCTTTGACCTTATCATTGTTGTTGTGATGTCATAGTAGGAAAGAGAGAGTGAAAGGAAAATTGATTAATTAATTAATTTGATTTGATTGTTTATACTAACTAACTAGGATGTGACTAAAGTGTGTCAACAAAATTGTGAAGATGTTATTCATTTATCTTAGATTAGTTTTGATGAAGACAAAAGCTTATCAATGAAAAAAGATCAAAAAAGAAAAATATTGAAATCAAGAATCAAGATTGGATAATTTTTTAAAATCAAAAGATTAAATCATGAAAATCAAGGTACAGTGATAATTCAATTGTTATAAGCCTTAAGAGTTCAAGAAATAATCCTTAACATTGATGCATGTATTATTTCAAGTTTCATGTTTTAACATGAAAAATTTTTCAAGCTTTAAGGTTGTTCATCGATTGCCATCTTTACTTCAATTAATTGAAGATCCCAAATTTTTCCTAAGGCAATCAATTGACTAATCTATTGGCATAATAACTTCTATAAAATTAAATATTAAAAAAACCAAGGCATCAATCAATTGACATCCTAGGTCAATCAATTGACATCCTTACTTCAATTTATTTAACATTTCAAATTTTGTCTAAGTCAATCAATTAATTGTTTAAGTCAATCTATTGATTCATTCTTTTTTTAATGTTGGAATTGAGTCATTTTATTGACATCCTAGGTCAATCAATTTAAATTAATAAACATTTTGAAATTTCTAAAACATTCCATACCTCTTCATTGCATATGATCATGATACCTTTTCCAAAATACTGTAAATCTCATGATAATTTTTCAAGCATTATTACTCATTCAAGAGACATCTTATGATGTATTTAAAGAAAGAATTTTCAACATTCAAACAACCTCTTTCAATCATATTTTTCAAATAATTGTTACTATTTTTTTAAAGTGTTCATACACAATGTTGTAGAAATTTTTACTGCATAAATTTTATTTATTTTAAAAAACGTTATCGGCCTGCTGTAAATTACTTACCAAATGTGTAACCAAATTATTTATCGAATCTGGTCGATTTATGGGGTATTCATTCGATAAGCAATATGAGAGTCTCACACACCTTCATTTCGCGGACGACACTCTCATAATGGGACCAAGCAGCTTAGAGAATGTGGACAACATCAAGGCAATTTAACACTTGTTTGAATTGAGCATAGGTGTGAAAGTCAATTTTCATAAAAGTCACCTAATTGGAATTCAAACCCCAGGGTCTTGGATGATTGAAGAAGCGAAGGTACTTAATTGCAAAGTGAGGTCCGTTCCTTTCTTATACTTGGGGTTACCGGTTGGGGCGAACCCAAGGAATACATCTACTTGGGATCCAGTTATTGATAAGGTGAAAAAATATTATCTAGATTGAGGAGCCACAAATTATCTATGGGTGTCCGTGTGGTGATCATGCACTTTGTTTTATCCGTGATTTCATTGTTCTATCTATCATTCTTCAAAGCTCCAACATGTATTATCTCTAAAATTGAATCTCTCTTTAAGTAATTCCTTGGGGGAGGGGGTGGTGGGGGTTTCATGAGAGTACTAAGCGAGTGAATTGGGTAAAATGGGACAAAGTATGTTTGGATAAGGAGAGTGATGGGTTAGGCATCAAAAATATTATAACCTTTTACGTAGCGCTTTTAGGAAAATGGGTGTGGAGATTGCGGGTAGAGCAAGAAAACTTGTGGTATGACATTCTCAAGTTCGAGTATGGGGAGAAGGACTGGAGAATTAAGACTAGGGGTAAAAACTCATCAAGATGGTTGAAGGAACTTAAGGAAGAGGAGAAAACAGGAGTGGGTAGCAATCACAATTGGTTTACTGATAATGTGAGCAAGGTTTTAGGGGGTGAAGCAGAAACGTGTTTCGATTGTTGGGTATGAAAGCCATTAAAGAGTAGATATGATCGGTTATTCTCTATATCCCTGCATTAAGAAGCCTCTGTTGCTGATATGAGAAGAGGAACGGGGGACAATATGGGGTGGCATTTTTAGTGGAAAAGAGAGTTGTTTGAGGGGGGGGGGGGGGCTGATATGTTACATTACTTGTTCGGTGAAATCGAGAGTGTCACACTTCATCCAGGTAGAATGAACAAAATTGTTTGGCTCGTGGATCCGTCAAACAACTACTCTGTTAAATCTGCATACTCAATTTTATCGGATAATAGTAGTCTGGCACCTCATGAGCATCTCAATTCTGTGTGGAAAAAATTCATACCATTTAATGTCTTAGTTTTTGTGTAGCAACCCTTGGAAAATAGATTCCCAACAAAGGGTAATCTATTCAAGAGAGGATTTTTAAATGTAGGTTCACTTAATTACGAGGAAGATTGTGATTCGATTGAATATTTGAACCATATATTCTTGATTGAATTATCGCATTCCAGGTATGATCTGCCATATTTAAAAGGTTGGGGGTCTGTACTGTTTCACTTTACAATGTTGCTTGAAATTTTTCTATGTTTTGTGGATTGTTATAGGTCAAGAAAATGCAGGATATTGTTGTTCAAACCATCTGGCTTGCCTCTTTGTGGAGCATTTGGAAGGCTAGAAACACAAAGGTTTTTCGAAGCAAAGCATCACCGATATCATATATCATGGAAGAAATCAAGCTTCTCTCTTGGAATTGGTTAAGAAACAAGGCCAAGAGCTTGAATATGCCCCTATGCTTTTGGTTTATATTTCCAGTTGAATGTTTGAAGGGTGTCAACTGACCGTTTTAGTTTTTGTTCTGCATTGTATAGCTATGTTGGCTGTTCGGATTTGATTTCTGCTATGGTGCATGTTGTTCTATTTTTATGTGAACCGCAACTTCAGAATGGTGTTATGCTATCGTGCTAGCTTGTGTGAGAAAGTTCTTGTCACACTAGTGTAGTTCAATTTTCTCTAATTGCAAAATATTCGTATTCCCTACGCCATTTTGAAGAATCTTGACTCTGATCTCTGCTAGTCTGTTTTTCTGTTGGCCTGATTGTTGTGCATACCCACTTCGATTTCTGCTGGCCATTTTAAAGTAGTCGTTTTGTTGTCCTGGTGTAGTCAATTTTCATTGGTTGTATTCATTTATCATGTTGTCTTGGTGTGTTCTCAATTGTCTGGGAGTGTTTTGCTACTTTTGTATCAGTTGTAAACTTGTGTAACAATTCCAACATCTATCACTATTAGAGATTAGGCACCTTTGTGAGAGACACACCACTTATCCACCTAAAATCTTAAGGTGATAGGTGAGTGGTTTCTCCCCCTTATATATGCTCAAGTCTCCATATTCTTATTCAATATGAGACTATTTCTCCATTTACTCACACTTACATTAGTATTCTAACACTTCCCCTCAAGTGTGAGTCCATAATGCTCCCCCTCAAAACACTTGTACCGCCGTTGACACCTTGCAACGGGACACCTCTTCTTAGGCATTTCGATACAAGTAAGTCAGTCCCTTTCTTGAAACTAAAGGCTCTGATACCATTTGTTGAGGGAGTTCACTAGAAAACATTTACATAGTGTAGGACTATGCAACTTTGTGAGAGACACATCACTTGTTCACTTAAAACCTTAAGATTTTAAGTGGATAAATATTGTGTCTTCCACAAAAGTATGTTGCTCAAATCGAAAAGTAAAAAGAGCTCCCTAGTAACTCCCCTAATATCAAGTTCATAACTGACTTTATTGCCAATTAAAACATAAATTTTAATATGCGGAAATTTTAATAGGATTTGAAAAGAAAAAGACAAGTGATGAACATGAATTTATGTTGATTTTGTTCAATTTTAGAATTCAAAGACTACAAAACTCGGGATTAAAATTTTTTTTTTAAAAATATCTGAAGTAGAAAAAAGAAGAATAATGCTATTTCTACACTCAAATTCTACACTAATAATACTTACACCCAACACTATTTACTGTGGTGAAGTGTTTTTTAAATAAAAAATATTTATGAACACTAATTTATTATTATAACTTTTTATTTCTTTAAAATTTATTTATTTAATATGTTTTTTTTTGTAGTAAAATAAAGTTAGTTAGTGAAATATAAAAAATTTGTTAATAAACATTCAGATATTAAAAATGATTTAGTAGTAAAATAAAATTGGTTAATATAAAGTAAAAAATTGATTAATAAAGTATTGAAGTTGGTTAATAAATATTCAGATATCAAAAATAATTTTTAGTAGTAAAACAAAGTTGTTTAATGAAGTGTAAAATATTGGTTAATGTAATTATAAAGTTGGATAAGAAACACCAAATATTAAAAATAATTTTTAATAAGAAAATAAAATTGATTAATGAAATTTAAAATATTAATTAAAAAAATTATAAAATTAGTTAAATAGCACAATTTTATATAAGTTTCTATTAATATAAAAAAAAATTAAAAATTAATCTAAAAGTTATTTATTATTATAATAATAATAATATGGATTAAATAAGTTTTTGGTCTCTCAAAATATCTCAAATTTCGTTTTTAATCTCTCTAAAATTTTTCTTCAAAAAATTAAATTTTAACTTTTAATTTCTCTTATAATTTAGCGACAGTTTTTACAACTTAGCGACAGTTTTTATTTAGCGACAGAATTATAGATAATTTTTGCTATGATTTTGTTAGAAAGGACTAAAAGTTAAAATTATATTTTCTAGAGAGATTATTGTTTAAAGAAAAAATTTTGAAAGACTAAAAATAAAATTTAAAATATTTAAAAGTACCAAAACCTATTTAATCCTAGGAATATTTTACCGTAAAACGTCACTGTTTATAATTTTTTTTTAAAGGTACTATTGACCATATAAATAGAATTGAATGTAAATATTGATATAGAATTTAGGGGTAGAAATAAGATTATTATTTAAAAAAAAACTCGAAAGACATACTTTAAAGGTATTTTATTTAGTTGAATAAAAAGAAAGAAGTCCAGTCAACTTTGTGAGATGTGTATTGATAAATAAATTAAAAAACTCATTTCTACCAAAAAGTTCATTCTTTGGAAGCATCACCATGGATATGACTATGAAGAGGAGCAAAAGGAATCATCGGAGTAAGGGTAGAGGAAAATAGAGTGGGTGGCTGTGAATGTCCTATCAAACCATGAGGAGAAATACATTCATAGACTTTGGAAGATATGTGTCATAGTTAAACTGTTAGGGAGAAGGATATGATATAAGGCGCTGGAAACTAGATCGAAACAAATGTTGGTGACGAGAGGTGTGATTAGCATAATTGGTCTTGGAAATGATTACTACTTAGTAGTTTTCTCACATATAGAGGTCCTTGCTTTATTTATGACCACTACTTAAAAGTAAAAGACTGGTCTTCAAACTTTCAACCAGAAAGTGAGACAACAGAGGATATAACCGTTTGGATTCGAATTGTTTAGATTCTTATCGAGTATTATGATTCTAAAATTTTGTCAACTATAGAGAACCGAGTTGTAATATTTGTCAAAATAAAAAGGAAGAAAGCAGGTTTTAATGGAAAACTATTAAAGAGTGGAGTAGGTAAATCAAGGATGAACGCCGAATTACTATATATCTAGTGTACTCTCTCTCACTCACCCACTCTCTCCCTCTCTCTCTCTCTCACTCTCTTGCATTTAATTTTTTGTTCGATATTGTATGCTTACGTTTTCAATTCGTAGTATAGTTTATCATTTATTTAAATGGTAACGATTTATTACTTAAGGTTAGATTTTGTTAGAATTGGTGTCTAATCGAACTTTAATGATAATTAAATTATGAGAAACCCTTAATGTTAGAGTTCATTGATATTGAGTCATTCTATAAACATATGTTATAAATATACAATTGAATCAATTGAATCTTGGACCTCTCTCACCAAAAAAAAAAAATATTATCATGAACGACAAAATTCGTCTTAGATTTTTATCTTGTTATAAGTATATACTTAATTCACAAACTTTTAAATTTTAAACATTTTTTAAAATATTAAAAATTTAAAATAAATCTGATTTAATACAAAATATACAAAGAAAACTGATAAAAAAAGAAAAACATAAAAACATATAGTAAAAAAATCTACATTAAGAAAGAGACCATGGAAACAAAGTAGGTTTAACCACCAGCAAAATAAATCAAAAGAGAAATTTGAGTTTGACATTATAATCCAATTAACAATTTGAACTTTTATAAAGAATTTGGTCATGAGATAAAGTTTTGCAATTGGAAAAGTTTGTAAGTATGCTCCAACCATAAAATTCAAGAACACCAAATAAATGAAATGCATCACAAAATTCTTTTTTAAGAGGGAGAAGACTACAAAGTTGATGAGTATGAAAAATAAGATTGTTGAATAATGTCACTATAAATTTGCAATTAATGGGTCGCGACCACTTGCTTCAAGAGCTATCAACCAAAATTTGGCTAAATATTCACAGTTTGATAATAAATTTGTGACGCCAGAGGAACAATAAGACCAATATCACTATAAATTTGCAATCAATGGGTCGCGACCACTTGCTTCAAGAGCTATCAACCAAAGTTTGGCTAAATATTCACAGTTTGATAATAAATTTGTCACGCCAGAGGAACAATAAGACCAATATCACTATAAATTTGCAATCAATGGGTCGCGACCACTCTTAATAAATACACATGCGGTATGAAAATAATCTCATCAGTATGAATCAACTGTAACTCTCATCTTCGAGGAGATCATATCAACAACCACGAGATGAACTTCATAGTTAATAGGAATATGAACGATTATGCCTCTTCGCATATTATTTAGAGTTGTGATAATTATTCAACCTGATAACCTAGTGGAAGTGCATAAATATTTTAATATAGACCATTTATACACGGGGCTATAGATATTGTACGACTTATGATTTATAATATGAGGTCGAACAATTTAATGAGTTAGATACTAGACTAGCAAATTCATGTGACATTGTTCTCATGTCAACTACTTAAGGAGTTCAAAGAATCCAAGGTCACACAGATATTGTTATTCGACGTTGTCCAACTTATTTTTAGCATAGTATTTTTGTCACGGCTAGCCCTAGCAGAAAATTAGTGACAAACGATACATATGGTCAGAATAATCTTTAACTTAGACATGTACAGATGACAAAGAGGCCACCTGAAATAGTATGGAAAATCAATATACTGCAAGTATCACCTCATGTCAGCAACGAGAATTCAAAGACTAATTAAAAGACTTTTGATCCAAAATCCATGGGATAGTTTTCCGCATGTATCAACTATTTCTACAACATACCTTCCATGACCTGACGATGTACATGTACTACCTCGGTGAATTCAAAGGCATCTTGACCAAGTGTTGGTTATGTTGGTGAACACTCACTGACCATGATTCCACTTTACTAGTGTAACATATCAGTGGTATTTTAAGGAACAATAAGAAATAACGTATAAGTGAACTAAGAACAATCATAAGAATTCTCCATCCTCAAGTTCAGTTTCAATATGATTTCAAAAGCCTTGGACAATAATGTTTGAACAAGTTTGGTTCTACATCTATAATTCTTAAGTTTTGATGATAATAAAGTATAGAGAATAACTTTCTACACTAATAATTTCATTAAGTATACATAATCTTAAGATAATGAAAGAAAACTCTGGACTCTGGCCAAAGCAGACTCTGGACTCTATGGACAAAGCGAACTCTGAACTATGGACAAAATAGACTCTGGTCTCTAGATAATGATACTCTGGACTCTGGACAAAGATAATCTGGACT